TCATCCATTACTCAACCCCTTGACACTTTTTTCATCCATTACTCACCTTTCTTCTCCCTCACACACTTCACGTCTCCCTCACTCCAGCCTCGTGGCTCACTCTCACACACCTCACTCAAACCTCACATATCTCTCACACATCTCACTAATCTCTCACATAAACCCTGACAACACTCACTTATCCCTAACCCCTCACTTATCCCTCACACCCCTCGCCTATCCCTCACATTCTGCACCTGTCCCTCACACCCCCTCACCTATCGCTCACACACCTCACTTATTTATCCCTCCCCTCATCCTGTTCCACAGGAGTGGGACAAAGTGATACACTGTACATAAGGTTAAGATACATAGCAGCGAGACAATGCAGCACTTTAAACTAAGGCCATTATCCCATAAGACATACAAATTTAATTCTCCCTCTCCTTCCCCTCCCATAGAAAACTGATGGCCAAAGCCCATAGGGAGCCGGTCGGCCGACCGGACAGCACGCTGGACTTGTAATCCTGTGGTCCTGGGTTCGATCCCAGGCGCCGGCGAGAAACAATGGGCAGAGTTTCTTTCACCCTATGCCCCTGTTACCTAGCAGTAAATAGGTACCTGGGTGTTAGTCAGCTGTCACAGGCTGCTTCCTGGGGGTGGAGGCCTGGTCGAGGACCCGGCCGCGGGGACACTAAAAAGCCCCGAAATCATCTCAAGATAACCTCAAGATAAAACATTGAATTTCGAAAAAGCCAACTATTATTTGTTTTATTTGTATATACAAGAGTTCTTACACACAGACATCACACTAACGTGATGCATCATGTGAACAAATCCACAAGAGCCATGAAGAGGATTCGAACCTGCGTCCGGGAGCATCCCAGACACTGCCTTAATCGACTGAGCTACGACAGGGTTAAAAAGAGTTGAAACCGAAGTTCTACTGAACTTACTGGATCCCGTAGCCTCTCCGAGACACAAACCAGGATTTTACACAACTCCCCCCTGCACTCGAGCTATGTCAATAGGCCGTTCTCCCTCTTCGCCTTTACATCATTACACTCAGAGATCACACTAACGTGATGCATCAAATGAACAAATCCACAAGGGCCGTGACAAGGATTTGAACCTGCGTCCGGGAGCATCCCAGACACTGCCTTAATCGACTGAGCTACGACAGGGTTAAAAGAGTTGAAACCGAAGAGAGGCTGAGGGATCCAGTAAGTCCAGTAGAACTTCGATTTCAACTCTTTAACCCTGTCATAGCTAAGGCGATTAAGGCAGTGTCTGGGATGCTCCCGGACGCAGGTTCGAATCCTCGTCACGGCCCTTGTGGATTTGTTCAAGAGTTCTTACATTCTTGTAAAGCCACTAGCACGCGTAGAGTTTCAGGCAGGTCCTTAATCCAATTTTTTTCCCGGAATATGGCCCACCAAATCGTTAAAAACCAAGTACTCATTCACTGCTGGGTGAACAGAAGCTACAGTTAATAATTGGCACCGAGTCAATCCTCCCCTGCCAGGATATGAACCCAGTCCAAAGCACGTGCGACGCGCCGGACGAGTGCTTTAGCACTACGCAACGGACTCTGCGGAGATTATATGCTGTGTGAAAGTCATTAATTAATATGAAGACATAGTGACGTGCTTTTATTACGGTGTTAATAATATTGTAAGATAGCTGTAGAGATAGAGAAGAGAAAGGGAAGAGGGGAGCAGGAAGATGGGGGTGTGAGGGGGAGGGGGATGGAGGGTGAAGCAGGACCAGGGGGATGGGGGACGTGAAAAAAGCTGAGGTGATGGGAAGGGAGTAAGGCGGGAGGACGGAATGGGAGAAAGATATGAGGATAGTAGTGGGACGAAAGAGGGTCCTAGGGGATGGGGATGGTGGGATCAAGGGGGGGGGGAGATAGGGGAAGAGGAGTGGAAAGAGAGACAGACTGTCCCAGGCACCGCCGGGTACCCTCCTAGACAGAGACAGAGTCAGAGACAGAAAGTTGATGAATGGATTGATAGATGGATACATGGTTAGATAAATGGAAAGATAGATGGACAGACTGAGGGATTGATCGATAGACCTTCATTGACATGAGAAAGGTCTTTGATACTGTTAACCATAGTTACCTCTTACTTAAACTTCACCATTATGGAATCCAAGGCCTTGCCCTGAACTATATTCGATCTTATCTCAGTGACAGACACCAATATGTAGACATCAATGATATAACCTCCCCCAACTCTATCATTAACCATAAGAGTGCCACAGGGCAGCATCCTGGGACCTCTCCTATTTCTTATATACATCAGTGATCTGCCTAATGTCTCTAACATTTTTAAACTTATACTATTTGTTGACGATACTACCTTCATCTATTCTGACCCCAACCCACACACTAAATAATGTTCTCAACAATGAATTAAAAAAAGTCCACTCATGGATGGCAACCAACAAACTCACACTCAACATAGAACTCACTTATTACATTTTATTTGGAAGCAAATCATCAATTGAAATTCAGATTCAGATAGAAAATGTTAACATCAGCAATAAAAATGATGGAAAGTTCCTTCGCCCATACATAGACAAGAGACTCAACTTCAGCACCCCACATACAACACATAACCAAAAAAGTCTCAAAAACGGTCGGTATAGTTTCTAAAATCAATTATATTCTAAACTCTGCTCTCTCTTATTATATATCGTTCTAATCTATCCCTATCTTACATACGGTATCTGTGCATGGCGTTCAACCACTGTAAATTATCTCACTGAAAATCACTCAGCAAAAATCTGCTATCAGAACAATAACGCACTCTGCTTTCAGACAACACAGAGCCCTGCGGTTTAAATCCCTAAACATGCCAAACATAAACTCACTTCACACATTCTCTTGTGCATTTACATTTACAAAACTTTGTTCCAAAATGCAAATCCTGATCTGAAACTCTTCCTTGACAGATGTAATAGAACCCATAATCACCACAACAGAAATAAATATATCTTTGGTAACCCCCAGAGTCAAACTAAATCTCTGTAAACACCATGCAAATAAAGAGACCTAGTCTATGGAACTCACTCCCTAACGAATTGAAAAGCTGTCCAACCTATGCCTTATTCAAAAGTAAAACCAAAGTACCTAATTTCATCCTCATAGTTTCCTACGTAGAGCTTCAAACTCGCACTATCTTGTGCTGCCCACTCCCTCAATATACGTGCCTACACCATGTAACTTCACCATTGAAATCACTGCCATCATCTTCATGGTCATGTTGAACGCAAACTTTACTACAATGTACTTAGAAATAATCCGCAAAATATGCTACAATGTACCTGTCGATAATCGTCAAATTTTACTATTTGGTACTTATTAAATTTCTTCAAATTTTCTTACAATGTACCTGTTAACATTATTCAAATTTTACCACAAATTACCTACTTAAAATTATCTTTTTGATTAAGGACCTGCCCGAAACGCTACGCGTGTTAGTAGCTTTACAAGAATGTAAAAACATCAATGCTATGTACTCTCATAAATCCAATGTATATATAAAAAATAAATTAAAAATAAATAAATAAATAAATAAATAAATAAATAAATAAATAAATGAATGAATAAATAAATACCTAGATGGTTAGCTAGATAAATGGATGCATAGATAGTTGGCTAGATAGATGGATGTATAGTTAGGTGGATGAATAGGAGGTGTGATGGGTAGACAGTTGGTGTGATGGATAGATAGAGGGTGTGGTGGATAGTTGATAGATGAGTAGATGGATGGATAGATGAATAGAGGGATGGATACATAGATGGAAAAATAAATGATTGGATGGGTAGAAAGATAGATGGAGAGATAAATGGATGGACATGAATACACAGGTAGATGGATAGAAAGATAGAGGGATGGATAGATGGGTAGATAGATAGATAGGTTGGTGGATAGATGGATACATAGATAGACATATTGATGGATGGTGGACGGATAGATAGATGGAGGGATTAATGTGTAGATTGATGGATATATGGATGGATAGATGAGTAGATGGATGGACAGATGAATAGATAGATGGTTGGATATAAAGATGGATGGATAGATAAATGAAGGAAGAGAGTTTTAGATGAATGGATGGATGGATTAATAGGGAAATAGATGGATGGGTGGATATATTTATGGACAATAGATTATTAGGATGAATAGATTATTAGATATGTGAATGGATAGATGGGGGAAGTAGATGAATGTATAGATATATTTATTGACAGATGGATAGATATATGAATGCATAGATGGATAGATAAGTAGATAGATGGATGGATAGATGGACAGATAGGAGATATACAGACCCGGGCAACGCCGGAATCCCCCCCCCCTTCAATATATCTTATCTTGAGCTTATTCTAGCACGAGTTTTCTCAGTCTTTCGTGCATTTCTTTTCGCTGTTGGAGGTGGGTCAAGGATCAATTCTCCAAAATTCATTTTTGTTTCTGGTCTGACGCGACACGAGCGCGTTTCGTGAGACTTATTGCATTTTCGGGGACTTTAGTTTGCAAATACACAACTGAATAGAACTTACGCATCTCCATCATCAATAATTAATGATTTCGGGGCTTAGTGTCCCCGCGGCCCGGTCCTCGACCAGGCCTCCACTCCCAGGAAACAGCCCGTAGCAGCTGTCTTACTCCCAGGTACCTATTTACTACTAGGTAACAGGGGTATCAGGATGAAAGAAACATTTTGCCCATTTATCTCCGCCTCCAAAGGGGATTGAACCCAGAACCTCAGGACTACGAATACGAAGCGCTGTCCACCCAGCTGTCAGGCGCCCCCATATATTATATATATATTTATATTTATAAAATGTTGTTTGTGTTTTATACATATAGTTTATAAGATGGTATACTGTCAAAATACTTGAGTGCATATGAGTGTAAGGTGATGAAAGTGTATTAAAACAAGACTGGTGACAATATAGATTATTGGATGTACTGTTGTAACGTAAATTTATTATGCTTTTTCAGAGTTCACTCTGCCATTTGTTTCATCACTGTGGCATTTTTTCGGTTGAGACGAGTAGGAAACTGCATCAAGCTAACGTCGTGCGAAGTATTACCTGTGTAAAGCATATGAACCGCTGCCAACTGCACTATATCCCAGACCATGAGTCATGGCTGATATATATAATGGTTTGAGACTCACCATTGCTATTGAAAACTGTGGAAGACGGGTCATGTACAAGATATTCCTCTTAGGAACTCCCGACAAATCTAACACTACGAACCTGATTGATTACCTGGAGAACTTGCCGCCTACATCATCAGCAAACTACTTAAAAGTCACTGAACAAAATAAAAAGTTTGACACAACGCAAAATGGGTTAATTGCCAAAAGTCCAGACGGTTCAGAGTTTGATGTATCACTGCTTTTTCTCTGTATCAAACTGGCTTGTGAGAATGTGGCCCAATTCAATGACCCAAAATGGTGGACCCCAAGTACAGAAATGGAGTACTATGTCACTGCTTTAAAGAATATGAGAAACTATTCTGTTCATGGTAAACTTGCCATTACTGACAATGAACTTTTGGAAAAGACAATGGTACTTGGAGAGCTCTTAACTGGCTGTCTTAAGACATCTGGAGAGCGGTATGCGCTTGACAAGGCTAAAGTAAACGAGGAGATCAGACAGGTGAAGCATGACCTGGACCAAATACAGCAAAAGATTCTTGGAGAAGAAGATTTAATCAGATATTGCAGTAAAGAAATACATAAGCTTATGATTGAAGATAGCACCGAGACACTGAAGAAGATCTTCCACAACATTGTTTGTATTAACCCAGTGTCTTTCATCACCGATAACCTGCGTCTTGAGGCAGACAAAGTCTTTGTTGATATCGAAGTCAAGCAAGGAAAACATAGAGGTGAAGGTGAACATATAGACTATCGAGACCTTCTCAAATTTGTCGAGATCCCACTTGCACATCCTGATACAAGCGCTGCCTCCCATCAACAGAGTCCACTTGCACATTCTGCTACGAGCGATGCCCCCGACCAACACAATCCACTTGCACATTCTGCTACAAGCGCTTCCTCCCACCAACAGATTTCCTCCGCACGACCTAAAATACTTCTGCTTGAAGGTTTGGCTGGAAGTGGTAAAACCACTCTGGTGTCAATGGTAACACGGGATTGGATAAAAGAAGGTCAAGGTAAGATAAAAGGCCTAGATAATTACGACCTCATGCTATGGGTACAATGCAGGGACTCTACCTTACTCTCCTACCAGGACCTCCTGGACCGCTTAATGCCAGATGTATCATTAAAATTTAGGAGCCTCTTGCCCAGAGTGCTGAAACTTTGTAAGTTGCTAATCATAGTCGATGGCTTGGATGAAATTAATGAAAGCTCGAGGAAACTCATGAACAGTCTTTTACACGAATTCAAGAATTCTTCTAACACAGCTTTCATGTGCACGTCACGACCGGAAAAACTTGAAATGTTTAAGACGACGATTCCTCCAGAATATGACATAACATTTGCTGAGCTCCGAGGCATACTTGAGCATCTGATTCTCGAGTTTGTGCATCTAAGTCACGTGGAGATAGAGAAACAAACAAATAGTAAACGAAGCACTGAACGACTCGTCAGAGAGGTGGAGAAATTGAAAGGTTTTCAGGAGTACTTATCGCTACCAATGAACTTGATATTGTTAGTATACATCTGGGACCAGGCCCCAGACGGGCTAAACATAGCGACTGTCACTCAAACAGAACTCTACAATAAAATTCATCATCTGTGTCAAAAAAAGTTATTTGCGAGATTGGCCAATCATCCACGAACTAACCTCATTCCTCAACAAATTCTACAGAATAAGATCCAACTAATTTTGATGGACATATATCTGACAGCACTTGAGTCTCTCTCCCATGACCAGTTGATCCTTGAGGATGAAAAAGTAAACCAACTAATAACTGCATGTGAGAAGCAAGGTCTACCTCATGAGGAGCTGTTGTCAGCGTTCCTGAGCTTAAAACCTACTTGGACATGGGAAGGCATCCGGGAGCAGTATTCTGCACCCCACAAGGGAATCCAAGACTATTACAGTGCTATGCATATTGTGATGGCCCTTAAGTGCCAATTGCTGTCTCCTACTTTCCCACTTATGTCTTTCCTGAAACTTTACGTACCGGCAGCGTCGCCAGGATTTATTTGGAAAGTGTTGAAACAGATTATCAAAACAGCCGAGATGGACATGACTAAGTACCAAAATGTTCTGGTGCATGTGGCCGGGCTGCTACACCTGACCCTGGACTGCGTGCCCGAGGCCCTGGCGAGGGAAGTTGTTGACCTCCTGCATGAGTCAGGAATGAGGCACGAGGATCATTGGCTTGACCTCCTCAAGAACACCAAAGTCGCTCCTGTCACAGCTAAGTATGTGGCTCCTTTTATCAATACTGATAAAGATATAGAGATAAGTGATAACAGTGTGAGGAGCTATGAGGCTCTTCTGCCACACCTCAAGCCATGCAGGGTGCGTATTGTTGCCAAGAGTGATCCTGCTGACCTGCCTCGCCTGCCAGACCTGCTGGCTGGCCTCGCCCACCATCACTGCATAGAGCTGAGTTTGGAACACCACTACTTCCATGATGATGACGCAACCACTTCCGACCACATCCTTCAACGTATACAGTCTCGGTGAGTTCTTGTTATAGTTGTTACATTACTGATAACCTTATCTTTATCTTGATGACATTGTTATCAATAACAAAACCAGGTATCTGGTCTTGTGAAGTTATTCATGCTAATCTTTGAACAGAACATGATCAATACATCAACCATTTGATATCCGGGTCCTATATTACAAGTGGGTTCACGGGGAACAGAGTGAAGTAACAGTGCTTAATCTTCCCATTTTGTGCAGGACTCGAACCTGGATACGGCACCCAAAAATATTGTCATTATAATATAGTGGATTTTTATGTTACTTGTTGATCTTATTTATTTATTTATTATTTACTTATTTATTTATTTATATACAAGAAGGTACATTGGGTTTGTGAGAGTACATAGCATGGTATTTACAATCTTGTAAAGCCACTAGTACGCCCAACGTTTCGGGCAGAATTATTATGTGAATGTCAATCTTTTAGCTTTTTATTGCTACAGATATGAAGCTGTAACGTGTTCTTGTGTTCCATTGTTCTTTGGGTGAATAATGTTGTTCGATGGAGATCAAAAGTTGAAAAAGTTAGTGTGGCTGGAAGAATGTTGACTGAATAGTTTAGGTTGTCCTCACCGTAGTCCCATTTTCTGTAATTCCAAGCAAATCTCACGGGATGCTAAATTTATCCCTAGGTACCACATTACTGGGGCCCACATACCTGTGCTGACCTAGTTGTGCCTGGGGGGGTGGGTGTTTACACCAATGACCAAGTATGTATATGTGTATGGCATACGTGACTTATTGTTGTTGTGAGATTTTTTTCTACGCCTACCTCCCTTAGGAGGTGGACTACAAGTTTAAAGGCTGCTCACGGCAGTTAAGCATGAGTCCAATAGAAAAAGGAAAAGCGGGAGCAAACCGCCAGGCCTCCACCACCAAGGGTGAAAACCTGTCCACAATAGGCCGCTGGCTCCTCCTAGTTAAACAGGACGTTAAAACTAATAAAGGGTAACCGACGGGTTCTCACAATCAATATTTATATTTGATGTGGCGCTATGAATTGGAATTCGAATTCCCAAGAACAGCCGCCTTATCAAGATCACATCAACATTTAAACGTAATATGCAGAAATATGGTGGAATAATATGGTTGAAGGGTTGACATCAAAGACCGTTTTCTATAACATAACAATTTATTAATAACAAGAGACTAACTACTACATTACCGAGTTTACGTTACGTTAATGTCCATCCAGTGGCACGATAACACGAATGAAGGATATCCACTGAAGACACAAGCATGCAATCAATAGTGTCTCGGTTTCCCTGACAGCTACTATAATCACAAGCTTAGGGGTCCTCCCGCCCCCCAGGAGAGACCCACGTAACTAGGCGGGTAGTCCAACAGTGTCCCCCCCTATCACAACCCAGTGTGAACACTCTTTGCAACTCCCTACAAGAAGTTGCCCTGTTGTAAACAGTAACAAAGACAGGCAAGGCGGGATTCTGGGACACAGCTCCACAAATCCCTAGATTACTCTACTCTTGTCACTAGACGACAACCAAAAGAAATTGCCTTAAGTGATTAATTACGTTAATTGACTGATCACAGCAGTCAGCAACAAAGTACTACGGTAATCACAAACAATTGTCTCACACTAGACAACAACATGATGATACTCTATGTTAATCCTTAACACTTGTCTCTCTTGTTAACAATAACTCAAACTTATATTACATCACACTTGACTCCTTGCAAGTATTCAGTGAGTAATCCTCAATTAAGGTCAAACGGACCACTAATTACATTCCCATTGAGTTATGTTAACTAAGCCTACCCTAACTTGGTAGCTTCTCAACAGTCTGTGTCAAAAAATTTACTAGTGAGTGTTAATTACCCTAATTAATTCTGAGCAATTAATTAACTGTCACCAGGACCGATAATTAATCATCCATAAATACGTCTCACTCCACACTGCCTAAGCACGTCTCATCAAACACTGTGAATTCACGGGAAAGGAGTTAATTACCCTAATTAACAAGATATGCCACTAATCCACTGTCCTCAGACAGAATATGATTAATACAACGATTTATGCTAGCTCCATGACCTCGCTTTACCGAGTCATCGGAGCTCTCAGATGTTAATTACTCCACTAATTAACCTGAGCCACTAATTGCTATACCCCAGAAAGGTAATTAGTCTCGAGCAAATTACGTTAACACAAATACTGACAGACTCTGACAGATCCTCTCCCACTACGTGAATTCATGATGAGAAGGCTAATTACATAATTACCTAGAGTGGTTAATTAGTTGTCACACGGACAATTAATTGCTCCCGAGACGTATCTCACTCAAGGTCAACGCTGTTCTCTCTCATAACAGCCCTCACTCACTCCACAATAAGTGTGCACTCCTTATCCAGTTAATTCCCCAATTATTAACTCACTGAATCCTTAAGTCCTTAACACAACTTAAAGAAACAAAGTAACCCCAGTGTTACATAGGTCACACTACAATGGCATGCAACAACACAAATGCACTGCCCACATATGGTTGCGGCTACTGCAACTCGCTAATTACAGTGCCCACACAATAATGACACACGGTTGTGCAACACACAAGAGTATACCAATATTACTGCCCCCTTTTCTTGCACCTGTTGCAAAGGACTACTGTGAACACACACGTACCTCAGCAAGGCAATTAACCAATCAATTGCCTGCTCTCATTAAGTACTGTGAATTCCCCTGAATAATCCTAGAGGTCCCATAAACCCTCAACGCAGCTCCTAGGGCAGCAATAATATTGTATAAACTGATAACACCACTGCACAAACCTGCAACATAATGATGCCGTCAGCATACCCCACATCCTAATGACATCATTAGGCAATCAGTCAGCAATCACATCTGGCTGACTCACCACACAACACAGTACATAAACATGCAAATGAACACATAGAAATGGCATTCACATAATCAATGAAAATTATATCATCAGGTAAATGTAACTAACTACACAGGCCTCAGGGCCCCCCACTGACATCCCTGCCACCTGGCCTGCCAACCTCTAATGATACAATTACAGTACTCTATGGCATTAATCCAGTCTGAACGATTATATAGAATAGACAGGCTGGATCACTTATATGGTAAATCTCTACACTGACCGGTTACATACTCGAGTCAGTCTACACATATATATATATATATATATATATATATATATATATATATATATATATATATATATATATATATATATATATATATATATATATATATATATATATATATATATATATATATATATGAATGAAAACTCACACCCCAGAAGTGACTCGAACCCATACTCCCAGAAGCAACGCAACTGGTAACTACAGGGCGCCTTAATCCGCTTGACCATCACGGCCGTCAAAAGGAAGTGATAGCCGAGGCTATTTGAGCCACTTCCCCGACGGCAACTCGGATGGTAATCTTGGGCATAGCATTTCACCAAACCACCTCATTCTTTGGGGCACACGTGAGGAACACAAATGCGAACAAGCCTGAATGGTCCCCAGGACTATATGCGAATGAAAACTCACACCCCAGAAGTGACTCGAACCCATACTCCCAGAAGCAACGCAACTGGTAACTACAGGGCGCCTTAATCCGCTTGACCATCACGGCCGTCAAAAGGAAGTGATAGCCGAGGCTATTTGAGCCACTTCCCCGACGGCAACTCGGATGGTAATCTTGGGCATAGCATTTCACCAAATCACCTCATTCTTTGGGGCACACGTGAGGAACACAAATGCGAACAAGCCTGAATGGTCCCCAGGACTATATGCGAATGAAAACTCACACCCCAGAAGTGACTCGAACCCATACTCCCAGAAGCAACGCAACTGGTAACTACAGGGCGCCTTAATCCGCTTGACCATCACGGCCGTCAAAAGGAAGTGATAGCCGAGGCTATTTGAGCCACTTCCCCGACGGCAACTCGGATGGTAATCTTGGGCATAGCATTTCACCAAATCACCTCATTCTTTGGGGCACACGTGAGGAACACAAATGCGAACAAGCCTGAATGGTCCCCAGGACTATATGCAAATGAAAACTCACACCCCAGAAGTGACTCGAACCCATACTCCCAGAAGCAACGCAACTGGTAACTACAGGGCGCCTTAATCCGCTTGACCATCACGGCCGTCAAAAGGAAGTGATAGCCGAGGCTATTTGAGCCACTTCCCCGACGGCAACTCGGATGGTAATCTTGGGCATAGCATTTCACCAAATCACCTCATTCTTTGGGGCACACGTGAGGAACACAAATGCGAACAAGCCTGAATGGTCCCCAGGACTATATGCGAATGAAAACTCACACCCCATGTTGTTTGTGTTTTATACATATAGTTTATAAGATGGTATACTGTCAAAATACTTGAGTGCATATGAGTGTAAGGTGATGAAAGTGTATTAAAACAAGACTGGTGACAATATAGATTATTGGATGTACTGTTGTAACGTAAATTTATTATGCTTTTTCAGAGTTCACTCTGCCATTTGTTTCATCACTGTGGCATTTTTTCGGTTGAGACGAGTAGGAAACTGCATCAAGCTAACGTCGTGCGAAGTATTACCTGTGTAAAGCATATGAACCGCTGCCAACTGCACTATATCCCAGACCATGAGTCATGGCTGATATATATAATGGTTTGAGACTCACCATTGCTATTGAAAACTGTGGAAGACGGGTCATGTACAAGATATTCCTCTTAGGAACTCCCGACAAATCTAACACTACGAACCTGATTGATTACCTGGAGAACTTGCCGCCTACATCATCAGCAAACTACTTAAAAGTCACTGAACAAAATAAAAAGTTTGACACAACGCAAAATGGGTTAATTGCCAAAAGTCCAGACGGTTCAGAGTTTGATGTATCACTGCTTTTTCTCTGTATCAAACTGGCTTGTGAGAATGTGGCCCAATTCAATGACCCAAAATGGTGGACCCCAAGTACAGAAATGGAGTACTATGTCACTGCTTTAAAGAATATGAGAAACTATTCTGTTCATGGTAAACTTGCCATTACTGACAATGAACTTTTGGAAAAGACAATGGTACTTGGAGAGCTCTTAACTGGCTGTCTTAAGACATCTGGAGAGCGGTATGCGCTTGACAAGGCTAAAGTAAACGAGGAGATCAGACAGGTGAAGCATGACCTGGACCAAATACAGCAAAAGATTCTTGGAGAAGAAGATTTAATCAGATATTGCAGTAAAGAAATACATAAGCTTATGATTGAAGATAGCACCGAGACACTGAAGAAGATCTTCCACAACATTGTTTGTATTAACCCAGTGTCTTTCATCACCGATAACCTGCGTCTTGAGGCAGACAAAGTCTTTGTTGATATCGAAGTCAAGCAAGGAAAACATAGAGGTGAAGGTGAACATATAGACTATCGAGACCTTCTCAAATTTGTCGAGATCCCACTTGCACATCCTGATACAAGCGCTGCCTCCCATCAACAGAGTCCACTTGCACATTCTGCTACGAGCGATGCCCCCGACCAACACAATCCACTTGCACATTCTGCTACAAGCGCTTCCTCCCACCAACAGATTTCCTCCGCACGACCTAAAATACTTCTGCTTGAAGGTTTGGCTGGAAGTGGTAAAACCACTCTGGTGTCAATGGTAACACGGGATTGGATAAAAGAAGGTCAAGGTAAGATAAAAGGCCTAGATAATTACGACCTCATGCTATGGGTACAATGCAGGGACTCTACCTTACTCTCCTACCAGGACCTCCTGGACCGCTTAATGCCAGATGTATCATTAAAATTTAGGAGCCTCTTGCCCAGAGTGCTGAAACTTTGTAAGTTGCTAATCATAGTCGATGGCTTGGATGAAATTAATGAAAGCTCGAGGAAACTCATGAACAGTCTTTTACACGAATTCAAGAATTCTTCTAACACAGCTTTCATGTGCACGTCACGACCGGAAAAACTTGAAATGTTTAAGACGACGATTCCTCCAGAATATGACATAACATTTGCTGAGCTCCGAGGCATACTTGAGCATCTGATTCTCGAGTTTGTGCATCTAAGTCACGTGGAGATAGAGAAACAAACAAATAGTAAACGAAGCACTGAACGACTCGTCAGAGAGGTGGAGAAATTGAAAGGTTTTCAGGAGTACTTATCGCTACCAATGAACTTGATATTGTTAGTATACATCTGGGACCAGGCCCCAGACGGGCTAAACATAGCGACTGTCACTCAAACAGAACTCTACAATAAAATTCATCATCTGTGTCAAAAAAAGTTATTTGCGAGATTGGCCAATCATCCACGAACTAACCTCATTCCTCAACAAATTCTACAGAATAAGATCCAACTAATTTTGATGGACATATATCTGACAGCACTTGAGTCTCTCTCCCATGACCAGTTGATCCTTGAGGATGAAAAAGTAAACCAACTAATAACTGCATGTGAGAAGCAAGGTCTACCTCATGAGGAGCTGTTGTCAGCGTTCCTGAGCTTAAAACCTACTTGGACATGGGAAGGCATCCGGGAGCAGTATTCTGCACCCCACAAGGGAATCCAAGACTATTACAGTGCTATGCATATTGTGATGGCCCTTAAGTGCCAATTGCTGTCTCCTACTTTCCCACTTATGTCTTTCCTGAAACTTTACGTACCGGCAGCGTCGCCAGGATTTATTTGGAAAGTGTTGAAACAGATTATCAAAACAGCCGAGATGGACATGACTAAGTACCAAAATGTTCTGGTGCATGTGGCCGGGCTGCTACACCTGACCCTGGACTGCGTGCCCGAGGCCCTGGCGAGGGAAGTTGTTGACCTCCTGCATGAGTCAGGAATGAGGCACGAGGATCATTGGCTTGACCTCCTCAAGAACACCAAAGTCGCTCCTGTCACAGCTAAGTATGTGGCTCCTTTTATCAATACTGATAAAGATATAGAGATAAGTGATAACAGTGTGAGGAGCTATGAGGCTCTTCTGCCACACCTCAAGCCATGCAGGGTGCGTATTGTTGCCAAGAGTGATCCTGCTGACCTGCCTCGCCTGCCAGACCTGCTGGCTGGCCTCGCCCACCATCACTGCATAGAGCTGAGTTTGGAACACCACTACTTCCATGATGATGACGCAACCACTTCCGACCACATCCTTCAACGTATACAGTCTCGGTGAGTTCTTGTTATAGTTGTTACATTACTGATAACCTTATCTTTATCTTGATGACATTGTTATCAATAACAAAACCAGGTATCTGGTCTTGTGAAGTTATTCATGCTAATCTTTGAACAGAACATGATCAATACATCAACCATTTGATATCCGGGTCCTATATTACACTGTAACACGGGTTCGGGTTCCTCTCTCTACTTATCTACCTTCTACTCCCTCTCTACCCGTATTCTTACTTTTTATTCTCTACCAAGGGACTCCAAAACTTTTACCAAAGCCAACTCCACGCCACGTGGTCCTAAGACGATTGACCGACTTAGGATTCTACACCCAGTATGACGTGACCTAGGCTCTGAGCAAAACCCTAGAGTCGCCTCTACGCTGCCACCACCAGACCAGTAACACAAGAGCAATGATCGAGGTCTGGATCGATCACGCTAATTAATCAACCTTGGGGCTTGATCCCCACTATAAACGATGACCGTGGAAACTTAAGAGTGTGAAATTAATTACACGGGAATGATTCGATGTTAGAATCGATGTTAGAATCGGCGCCCAATCCAACTCTGCCTCGTGTGGACCACGTGACCAGGACAAGTATACACATAAAACACATGGAAATAATAAAAATGCAAATTATTAACTTAATTTATTAAAAGAAAAACTAAAACAAAATCTAAATATGTTCACTCCCTGTCACTTTAACACTCCCTACTTGACCTGAATGGCAAATGAGACTATCTCTATACATAACAATAGCAACTATACCTCAATGGGCGACCAGCTCTAGATGTTGGGCTGGTCTTGGGGAGAGGTAAGATGGTTGACCTCTCCCAGCTGCTCCCGTATTCACACTGATCTCTTCCTCGTCTGGTCTAGCCCAGACTAGAGCATTGTATCCTTCCGCCTAGTCAGTCAAAGTTTACCAAGTTACTAGCAAGGTTTAAGTTATAACAATTAACCTCTGTTGTACTTAATTGATCCAGACTGGTTGAATTATTTTACTGAAATTAAATTACAAACATCTAACGGCAGAGCTGTTCCCGATCCCAAAAATGGTTAATTGAACTTTGAGAAATAATAGACATGTCAACCCTGCTGACCTATGACCGCCGGTCACTCCGCCTTACAAGTTAGATCTGATTCGTGACGTCACTGATGGTGACTTAAACTCAATAATTAGAATACTCTTGATATTGTACCCAGTACTATTATACAATACAATTTTAATACAAAATGAATAAAGGCTAATTTTCTCTAAATTACTGAATACTATAGGATGGTTCATTATACGCAGCTATGAACAAAGCGTCGGTTATTTCCACCGCGAATTCCCCTGGGGGTCAGGTCACCATGCGGCTCAGCTTCCCATTCTCTTTTGTCGATAAACCACTCTGGATAATTCTTACAACAGCCTAGTTTGTTACAACCCCCCCGCACAAGCACTTAGTAAACCTTGTTAATTTGTTAAAAAATCACGAGGTTTAGTATCCAAACCCACAATTCAACTCATGCCACAAACAAAAGCTAACCTAACTAATAAAATTTGACAAATAATAGTCCAACATCATAATAAACATGTTCATATTTCATAAATTTCTCAGCTGTCAACTGACAGCAATCCTCCAATATCAGGAAACATACATCCTATCCTTACTGACATAGCTAAATAACATGTCCCTACTCTACCATAAAAAAAACTAGCTATTAAACTCTCTTGGCTCTTCACTAGCCAAGTCCATGTGTCCTCTAGAGCCGGCCACACCGTGCTCAAACATTAAAGTTATATCATCAGACTGAACTTTCAGTCATCCGGGAGCGTACTACGGAACTATCAGGTACACATCCGTGTACTAACCACTCCCCATCAATGTCAACCTTGACATGTTAAGGAACACACCTAATGTTTATTACATGTATCTAAAAATATAAAAAAAAGTTCCTATACTATATCACAGGTTTCAGCTGACTGTACAGCCAAGTGTTCTCACTCACTAGAAGTGTCAATGTTTATATTGGTCCGCCTCTCCTGTGTTCATTCTGCAAAAATAGCACAACATAATTTTCCATAACCGTTTGTTCTGGGCTGAGACAATTACACAGGGGCTTCGATTTTGATTACTGACCAATTTATAGAGTAAAATTTTCATATATTATACCAGAATTATTTTAAATCTGTTTTTCAACATTTAAAAAGTATTGTGATTCTAACTCTGTTTTTCAACATTTAAACAAAAGTGTCCAGATGTTCTTTACACAGATGTTCAGAGCCAACTTTGTTGTTTGTGTCAATTGTTCATATTGAGTAATCGAGAAAAAAAATCGATGCTGCTGGATGCTGAATGTAGTCGCTGACGATGACGGTGTCGATCTTGCTTCTTCATGTGTAGACATCAATACCTGGTCCTCTTGTACTCCCATCCAGTACTCCTGAATGACGACAGAGTGTAGTAGAGCGGAGTGCCAAGTGACAGCTGTAGAATACTGTTACTTCGGCCATTAATCTTGCTCTCGACAGTCCACACGCCTTCGTATCAATCACAGTTCACACGGCAGTCTTGATGTTAAACTTGACGTCGCAGATGACCACAGCAGAGCCGGACTGGATGTACCAACGGTGTCTCTTAGCAGGAGTGATGTTAGAAGGTCGTAGAGGCGGGTTGCTTGTTTGCAGAACAGGTGAATCTCGTCTTCCATCATTGCTCACGTCATCTCAGGCGTTTCTTGATGTCACCAGGTTACTAGGCCGTAAACACCAACTGTGTATACCCTCGTACCGCCGACTTTAGGCCAAAGGAGACAATTTTGCGACCTTCTATTGGCGAGTCCCGGTACTCTGTAGGGAAACCGTGCCTTCCACCTGTGACCGCCTTACTTCCGCTTTCTTGTTACTTCAGATGACGTAATCATTAATCTTCCGGCGAAATTCTTGAGTACTGCTACGTGCTTTCCATTTCTTGACCTCTCCTCCAACACTGCTGGAATGGCTGCAGTCTTGATGACGCAGCAGGTGGGTATTGGTGATCTCGAGACAGCTACCCCGGCGTTGTATGGCACCTCCGGTGACTGCTATAATGTGGACAGCTCGCTGGCCCTGACAACCTCGTTAGTGACGTGAGGCGTCGGCCGGGTGACTCTTGGACAGTCACTCATCCCCAAAGTAACTGATGTATGGGTTACTGGGTCTGGTGGGGGGAGGGCTTTGTGTAACGTGCCTCCCCCCTCGGTCTTTACAGACAAGGGTTCACGTGTGGCTGGAACAACTGGGTCGGTGTACCAATCAGACCTGGGAACAGACAGACACAACACAGCGGAAGCATAGATATACTCTGGGTTTGGTGGAGGTGGAACCCCAGAGCACGGTAAAAGTTGCTACCTGAGTCAAGTATAGACATAGTACATCTCATTGCCTTTACAGGAAAATCTAATGAATACTAAATTATACTAACCAAGGAAGTTACTTTACTGTACAGCGCGAGATCTCGTCACCATAGGGTGGCGAGACTGCACCTGACTACTGATGAGCGATGACAGAGGGTCATCCTCATCTTCTGACTCGTCGGTGAAGCCATGAGTCAGCACTGCTGAGTCAGGAACTAGACCCGCTGAAGGCAGTTCTAATTCCTCTCTAGCATGATAATGTTTCAATTTATTCACGTGAATTGTCCTTTCCACCTGGTCCTCGAACACTCCTTTTATAACAAGATTAACTGGCCCCGCCCTTTTAATTACTCTATATGGTCCTCGCCACCTCGGAGCTAGTTTCCTGCTCTGATTGGCGGGCGCAGCCTCATTCACTCTCAATACGAGGCTTCCTTCCTTCAACTCAAGAGGGCGCACTTTCTTGTCATAAAAATGAGCATACCGAGTCCGTGCCTTCTTGGACGCTTCAGCTGCAATATTCCATGCATTTCTCATTTTTCCAAGGACCTCTGAAGGATAGTCCTCCCCGTATGCAACATTATGTCTGTTAAGCAGACCTGAGGGGAAATTGCATGAATTACCAGTAAACAAATGAAGTGGTTGGGTGTTAATTGATTGGTGGATGGCAGTATTCAAGGCGAACTGAACATAGGGTAGGTGTTCATCCCAGGTGTTTGCATCATGTTCAGCAAGGATTGCAAGCATATCCTTGACTGAACGATTAGTCCGTTCCGTCATTCCGTTTGCTTGTGGGTGGTAGGCCGTTGTAAAAGCCGAAGTTGTCTCTAAAATCTTACAAACTTCTCTAAATATATTCCCATTGAATTCTTGACCCCGGTCAGAGACTAAAACTTTAGGAGGTCCGAATACAGTAACGAACCTACGCAAGAACGCATCTGCAACCGTACGAGAATCCTTCTGAGGTAATGCAACTAGTGTAGTGTATCAAGACAGATGGTCAACTAGCACCAACACGTATCTGTTACCCGCATGACTGTGGTGTAAATCAATCAGATCGGCCCCCACACGATCTAACGGTTCACAAATTTCAGGAAATTCCTGAAGTGGGGCTTGTACCTTAAGGGTGCCTTTCCTCCTCTGGCAACGAGGGCACGACTTCACGAAATTGATTACCTCAGAAAGTAATCCTGGAAAATAAAATAGAGACTTTGCTTTTAAGTGCGTTTTAAAGATCCCCGGATGCCCTGCAATTTTTGAAGCATGCGCAAGCTTTAACGCACCGCTGCCACCATTGTAACACGGGTTCGGGTTCCTCTCACTACTTATCTACCTTCTACTCCCTCTCTACCCGTATTCTTACTTTTTATTCTCTACCAAGGGACTCCAAAACTTTTACCAAAGCCAACTCCACGCCACGTGGTCCTGAGACGATTGACCGACTTAGGATTCTACACCCAGTATGACGTGACCTAGGCTCTGAGCAAACCCTAGAGTCGCCTCTACGCTGCCACCACCAGACCAGTAACACAAGAGCAATGATCGAGGTCTGGATCGATCACGCTAATTAATCAACCTTGGGGCTTGATCCCCACTATAAACGATGACCTTGAGTGTG